TGAGAACTATTTAGACCGCATCGTTTCGTTGAGACGAATTTCGTGGAAACACGTTTTACGGATAAATTGTAATCGACACATGTTTCGTCGTCACTGCGACATTTCATGGAAACCCGTTTGTTCCAAGAGACGTTCCATCGACAGAAGTATTTGTGGCTATGCTTAGTTTCACCCTAAGTCCAGACGCAGCAGCACCCTACGAGCTGATGGCACCAATCAGACAGCGTCAAAAGCGCACCATCATGGTGTTTGTCATGTTTCTGTACGTGTTCTGTCATTGCTGAACCAATCATAAACAGAAAAGGCCTAATGACTTGCGCATTTCACGTTGCTTGATTGGTCCCCTACCTCGTAGCGTCGGCTGTGTTTCGACTTAAGCTGAAACTTTGGGAGATTGGATGCGATTCGCTGGGTTCATTTTGTTGGCTGGAAGTACAGTCTAGAACTATGCGGAGCGCAAGTTTGTCTGCTTCTTGCACAATGGTTGATCTTAGAACGCCGAGCTCTTATTGGCTGATTGAAAAGCAAATAGTGGGTAGACCTCAAGGCCTCTAGAATTGAGGTCTACCCACTGTCCTTCCAATCAAAGCCAATCAGAGCTCGGCACCCTTTTGACGTCACCGCAACCCCTGCGCAAGAAGCAGACGACTTGCCCTCCGCATAGCGGAGCCACCCACGTGGCTCTGGTAGAGCACAGACAAATTCGCCCTAATCCTATGCTGTCAAGCAGACCCCTTCCTTTATTTTGATCCTTTCGGGAATAACGATAGATGGCCTGAGGCTTGGGGTTGCAGCAGGCCTTGTCGGAAAACGCCAAGGGTTCGACACGCTGCATGGCTACCATCAAAATGCCGGTGGCCGAGCCGATGTGCGCGGAAAGAAGCTTTTGACGAAACTTCGCAAAGTGCGTCGACGAAACGAAAACAAACGCCTTTCCATGAAACGAACTGTCGGTGAAATGTCGCGTGTAGACTAAAAGCTCTTGTCGATAAAACGTTTGACGAACTGATTGCCACCGGACATATACAGCGTGTCTCGCACTCGCAACACATCTGACTGTGATCCAACCGGCTCTGCAGATCTTGTTCACCGTGGCAGTCGTCTGGCTCCTCTGCCACATCCTGACGGTGAACAACTACTTCCCCGAGCAACACCCGGCACGAACAGACAACATGGCGTTTGCATTCGGAAACGCCACCTGGTTTCGAATTCCCTACCCGCGCAAGTTGGATTCCCAGCACTTTTTTTTTTTTTTTGTTCTGGTCGCAAAAAAACGGCGCATAGTTGTGCGATCGGGTCTGCATTTATTATATACTATTATCCTCAGACTAAAATAAACTAGATAATAAGAAAAGTATTCAAACAAGGCAACGAAAAAAAAAAAAAAAGGCGAGGTAGGTACGTCTTGAGTTTACATGATTCATTCACGACAGGAGCGTGAACAGATTTAAAGGGTTTCCCGACTTGGCGAATGAAAAAGTTGATCCACGCACAAGCTTAATTTCCTCTCAGAAACAAAAAAAAAAAAAGTTACTAAAAAAAAAAAACTACAATATACGCTTTACCAATACCACCCAGACGACAAGGCCTATGTAGTGTTTGAACTCCCTACGTCATCACCGGTGGTCCCCACAGCGCTGCCTAGCCCGCGTCAGCGTCGCTGTCAGTGTGGCTTGTTGCGTCTCTCAACGAGAAGGACGCTAGCAAGTGGCGACGGCAAGACACACGTGCCTGCCGCTTTGCGTCGTCCTTCGTGGAGCCGCGTTTGCGGCCTGGGGCGGGTCGGTGATCCACAAACGATGACGTCATGCCCGCGGGCCTTATCTTTTATGTTGTATTGGTTCTACACGGGGCCACAATAACCATATCAATAAACGTACGGGTCCCTTGGATATCCGCGAAACACCAGAAGCTCTAGCCAATTCGGCAATGGTGTGTTTTTACTGGCATAATTTCGTCCATCCGTTATGTTATTATGAGCTACAGGCAAAGGCGACATTTCCAAGGATTCACAAGACGTCCTTAAATGCATAGTGCACTGAAGGTTATAGTGTCATCTTGCCGATATCTAGCAATAAAATGGCGGATTAACGTAATGTGAAAACGCACTGTGGAAAAGGGTGCCGTCAGAACGAAGTAATACTTGGTAGCGACACAGATGAATAATTTTAAATAGGCAGAACTGCTCTCTGGTCTTTATCATTGTTACGTAGAGAATACAAATTAATTTCCACGTACCTGACAACATCATTGTCATATTGTCATATTAACCAGGACAGTAGAAATAGTAAAAACAATATGATGTTCTAATGAACTGCCTTGGCCGGCTGTGCTTCGAACCGTGCTTCAAAATGAAAGTACGAGCTAACGACACGTACATTGTCCCGCGAAAATACGGGCTACTCGAGCACCCCATTTAGTAGGGAGTTTTCGTAGACCGCGTTTCCCCCTCCGCTAAGCCCTCCGCAACGAAGCAGCCGTTACTGCGCCGACGCGCCGATGGCGTTGACTGTAGAGTTCCGGATAGCGTAGCTGGTTGCGGAGAGCGTTGCGGGACAGCGGGAACGATCTACGAAAACTCCCTTGTGACATCGCTAGCGATGATACCGGAACGCGTGGCGCCAGCAACGACAGCACGACATGTTGCAGTGCCACCTAACCGACGCGGTGTGTCAGCGCAGTTCAATGGGGCGTGCCAATCGTCAACATGGAAGCCATCATATCCGCCATCATCATCAACCTCCTCACCATAATGGAATCGGTGTGCGACTACTACGCGTGCGCCATCATCGCGGGCTTCCCACCGCCGCCACCAGGGGCCGTCAACCGAGCCATCTTCACCGAGGGCTTCGGTTGCTGCGTGGCGGGCCTGCTAGGCTGCGGTCTGGCGTACGAGACGCAGACCATCCACCTCGGTGTGCTGGCAGTGACCAAGGCACGTACTTGCGGAAAGAAGCAGACGGAGAACAGGGGCTCGAATCTGTACACTCGGCGAAAGAAGTCGGCGAGGGATCCGGCGGCCGTGATTGGCCGGGAGCCACATTTGACCTTCGTCACGGCCAAGCACGACGGTCGAATCCCTAGCAGCCTCTTTCGACAAGTGTCCTGATTAGAGTCCCTAGTCGTGCCGGAGTCAAGCTGAAGTCTTCGGATGGAACAGGATGACCGGATCAGTATACTTCTTTCATATGTGCCTGCGTAGTCCTGAGCATTTTACCCGTATTGGTAAGCAACATCTACATTCTAATGTAAATTTAAGGAGATTCAAGTATTAAAAAAATGCAAGCACTGTATTTGATCGTAACGGGAAGTCGTGAAAGGAGGTTGGCGAATCGAAACCAAAACTGTGGGCAAGAGGTTTCCTAAGATACTTTGCACGGCATTACGCCGCTAGGAGATCGCTTCGATTTTGCAGCAGATTCATTGATCCCACTTCTGAGAGCATGTTAGAAGGATGGAGAACGGTTCGTGCCCGAGTTCCAAGTCTGACTTTGGCACGAACAGTTGGTTCTCTTTGCGCTTCTTTTTGCGCGTCTAATGCCGTAACATGCAAGGCACGATTTGAACCGCGCACGAAATTAGAATCGTGCACACTTTCCATATATCGTGGCTGATTCGGCGCGCGTGTACGATTTCAGCGTGGACATCGACCAGGGTTTCGTGCACGAAACAGCACCGTTGGCACCCCTTTTGAAATCGTTCGCGCGCGCCGAATCAGATGCAAAATTTAAAAATTGTACACGATTTTTTTCTTTGTCTTGCGTGGCGCAATTTGTGTCTTGTGTGGACAGCTTTTAATAGAGGTGTTTGTTTCGAGGTGGGCTGTAGGAGTATGGCGTTCATAAAGAATGACTTATCATATATAAATTTCCAAGGTTAAAACGCTTTCTTTTTGTGTAAAATAAGTGTGCCTGGTTGGAACAATGAAGAAGGTGGGAAACTAAGCAATGGAGTTGCAGAAATAAGGGTTGTGGCGCAAACTAGCTGGTGAACGTTCATACTTAGAAAAACCCGAGACAGGAAAAGGAAGGGACAAATACTACGAAGTAATGGAGTTGTATTTGGTTTTGATTTATTTAGCGAAACGAACGCACGGGAACTTTGGCTGGAGCAATTCAAGCTTTCAATTTCGTGCTAACGGATTGGAGCGTATTAGCTTTCTTGTGTATTCTTAATTATATTTAGTAGCGTTTACTAATGGGCTCAACAGCGCAGGGACGAGGACAGAGTAGAAGACGGAAGACAAACACGGCGTTGACTTAAACCGAGCTTTAATGGACCTTACAACCCGTATTAAAGCAGAACTTGCCCGGACAAAAGCTAAGAAGGGAAACGGCACCTAAAAAGAACGACACGTGTCTGCGCGCAGGGCCGGCGCTACATAACGCGGGGCCCAGGGCAAGAATGTAAAAAAAAAAAATGTCAACAAAAGTTTAAAAAGCAAAATCTGAAATTTAAAAATAACTTCGCTTATACTAAACATGAAGAAAAACGAGACGGGCACATTATCATGCGGGATATCTCTGGTGTGTATTTATTCAGTTTTGTAACACAGGAATTTTTCTGTCCGGGTGGAGCAATCCGCAAATTGGCGAAGGGCCCCGCGCCCGTCGGTCAGCTAACTATTTTTTTTTTCCTTTGGAAAATTCAGCAATGAAAGTTATCTGTAGTGGCGATGTTGAAATTTTACAAAAAGTTCAACCGGCGAGTGACCGCGGGGCCCCTCTGTCACTTGCGGGGCCCTGTCGTAAGCGCGGGGCCCGGAGCGCCCGCCCCGCTCGCCCATGCCTAACGCCGGCCCTGTCTGCGCGCACCGATGTTCTCCGATCTAGAAAAAACACATGCCCTCCTTTACCGGCAAGGCATGTGACGGGGCAAAACACATTCTGCACCCCGTTTGTCCGATAGCGCGCTTTGATAATCTCACACGCGAGCTTGTCCTTTTTGCCTACTGATGACCGTGCATCTTTTAAAAGCTAGAGTACGTACATCCGCAGTCTCGCCTGTGCACTCCAAGCTGCCTAAACACAACCTGTGACACATTGCACCGGTGCTTGCTTAACCGCTGGTTAATTATTTCTTTATGTTATACTTAAATGCTACTGCAAAATACAGCTTATTTACAGAAGAATATGCACTAATTCTTTTAAATTGATTTTCTTTACAACTACTTACCTTCCAGCTCCTTTAGAGTATCCCCTACTAAAAAATAGATTGTCGCAACTACAAAATTATACACAAATTGTGAACATGTAGGTTGGCCTTCGATCGTGCTCCAGCAGAAGAGACATGTAGACACGCCGTTTTTACTCCTAAACAGTGCGCCAGTCTGCGGGTTACTCAGGTGGCCGCCATGCTGATGATTCTGCTGGGCGTCATGACGAAGGTGGGCGTTTTCGTTCTGAGCATCCCTGCCCCGATCATCGGCGGCCTGCTGCTGGTCTTGCTCCCGACCTTCACGGGGGTGGGGCTATCGCACCTGCGCTACGTCGACCTAACGTCCAACAGGAACGTCTTCATCATCGGGGTCTCGCTCACCTTTGGTATCATCGTACCATCGCACATCGGACCCCCGGCAAGCTTCAACGTCACTAGTGAGTATCGATGACGGCTCACTTCTTTTTTTAAGCCGAAAGCCTTACGTGTCCAATTACGCGAAAAAGCGGCGGCGTTGTGCCCGAAAGATGGTCGCACCAACGCGTCATCAAGCACGCGGCTTAGAAATAAAACACAACGAAAAGCACAGCAACGCAGATGCTTCGTCATGGCCGCTTTTTGGTGGGTTGCGGGTTCGGTTTACATCAATAATGCTAGGAATGCAACCTACGCTTTATTTATTGGATAATCCTGTACAATAGACCCTTTCCCAAAAGTGCTCGCCACTTATAAGTAGCTGCTACGTTAATTCTCCGATTTGGCCATTGTTTGGACAGGTACTCTGAGCATCCATTGGAAACAGGAGCTGTGTTTGCGTTCGGCGAGGATTCGGACATAATCACACGATTCGTGCCCAGGCAATGGCGACTGCCATTGTGGCTTGATGAGGTGTTGAAAATTGTCTGTTGATTGAGTAACCATCGTACTAATCGTGTTGTTGCGTTGGCGATGCGGATTATTGTCGTACTCTGTTTTTCTGGCCTTTCTTGGAGTGTTCTTTTTCTTTCTCAGGTCTTGTTGTTGTTGTTCGTTTTGCCCGCTGAGCGATGTAAATGGGTAACAGAGCCTCGTCAGACTAAGCAAATCTGCCTCTGCCTTTTACCAGGTTACACTAGACCTTATGTCTGAATAAATAAGCAAACGAACAATCAAATGGTACAGTCACCGGCTGAGATTCCCTTAGCGCTTAAACAACGCAAAGTTTCGTGTCTTCGAAGCTATCAATAGCAAAACAAAAATTGATTATCTACTTTTGTTGCTTAAGTCGTCACGTAAGAGTTACGTTGTAGTGTGATAACGTCACTTTTTATTTTACCTGTCTGAATACTTTGATCATTATTGTATGTCTTCTTTCATAATCGCAAACTACACTTAGCTAAAACTGAAAGTATATCTCGGTGAGTAGGTAGGAGTTTAGTTTATTGAGGCATGTGCTGGCTACAGATATATTCAACCCCTGAACTCACTAGGTGACGGAGCATATATTGATAACAAAAAAAAAAAACGCAATTAGTTTAGTACTTTTGCTAGCCTGAACTTGTATAATTTGTTTGCGACTTTGATTATAATTTGTTAAAATTTTTAGCAATTCGGATCGTTGACAAAGCCCTCTACACCTTCTTTTCTACTGGTTCTGTGATCGGCGGCGTCATTGGATGCTTTCTTGACCACACTATCCCCGGTAAGCTTTCACCTGAAAGTCGGTAGACATCCTAACCATATTTTTGTTAAATAAAAGTAATATGCAGTGATCATTTTCAATTACCACTAAGCTAAACCTATATGATTTTCACGCGTGTTTCTATGCTTCTAATAATCCTGCTCGTGTTATTTTCAGTCACCGATTGCTCTTATCGAATGACAAAACAGAAACTTGGGAAAAAAAGAACTCTAAGCTTAATTGTATGTAGTTTCCAGGGATGGGCAGTATTTCCAATACAAGTATTTGAAATACGTATTTCAAATACTTTGTGTATTTTGCATTTGTATTTAATTACAAATTGGGTAATGTATTTGACCTGTGTATTTAAATATTAAAACGTGGGTATTTCAAATACAATTGTAATTAAATACAATTTTGTGGGCGAAAATACATCCCTCAAATTTATTGCCACTGTCCAGAGCAGGGAGAAAACTACGTTCTGCACCGAATGCAGTGTCTCTCAATCAAGCACAAGTGTTTCGTGATTTTGTGATTACGGTGCTAGTCCAGCGTAAGAATATTGACGAAATCGACGTTTACAGGCACACTGGCTAAATAAGTGCCTGGGACAACTTGTGATGCTTTCCAGCCTGATTTCCATCCATATTTTTGCCTGGAACATTCTAAATGCGCGGGTCGTCCTGATATTCGTAACTGGTGCGAGTTGCAGCAATAAAAAATTCTCTAGCTAGTGCTGCGTGTTTTGGTCGTCTCGGTTTTTTGTTGGTCCATACCAAAATGTAATCGACAGAAAAACCTGCTTGAAGCTCTGTACTTTTTTCACCTATTACGTCCAAGCTGATTACATTTTTTTATGATTATATTTCTATTACGTAACTAGAGCTTCGCACACTAACTCCCGAGTGTGCAATGCAAAATTAAAATAAGATACCCAGAAACCCGTTGCAGGTGCCCTGAAGTCGCTGACGCAAATTTTGAGGAATGTATTTGGAAAAGTATTTTGAGGAGACCAAATTTAATACATTTGGTTGTATTTGTATCTTGTACTTAAAGGCATTTTTGAAAATGTAAATAAATTTGTAATTAAATACATTTTTGACGAAGTATTTTGTATTTGTATTTCAATACATATTTGCATGTATTTTGGCCATCCGTGATAGTTTCATATCATTTCTATAACATAACTTCCAACACATGTGCACGTGCACTGTTTATTGAAATGAAATCCTTATTTTTATTTTGTCCTCCAACAAACAACGAAGCGTATGAAAGTCACACAAAATAATAAGAATAAAAAAATATTTTCAACCAAAGCCATATCTTTGCACGAATTAAAAAAAAACGCGTTTTCTTAGATTTTGTACACGACATTGGGTGTATTTCAATGAAATAAAAGTAACAACGTGCGTGAACGTATAATATGATTGCAAGTCTGCATTGATGCGCTAAGCACATCTCATCAGTCCACATGATGAGACGAAGATTCAGGTGACCGATTCATGCTGTCTACGAGTTCTAAACTACGTAAAAAAAAAAAAATCTACCATTATGTAATGTATTCTATCATATATGATTTTTAATTATCGTGTGTTTCGTTTCAGAAATAATGTTGGTCCTATTTTCTCCGCAACTAGCCCGTACTCGGCGTCAACTACATTGCGCTACGTTGTGAGGGCTAACGTAACTTACGCAGTGCTCCCACGCAGTCAGAGCAACTTGCGGGAGAGCGTGCGAATACAAGAGCCACGTACAGCAGTGCGGGCCTACAGGCCACATCACCAAGCTACGCTAACGCTTGCAATGCAGGGGCGGATGCAGGAATTTCCTGAGGGGGGTGTCAGGTGTTGGTCGGCGTACCATATGTTTAGGAACCCCCTCCCCTCTCCTTCGTTTTACACCCTAAAATTTACACACGCAGAAATCAAGGGGGGGTCAGGACATCCGGACCCCCCCCCCCCCCCCCTCTAAATCCGCCCCTGCAATGTAGCACAACTTGTAGTTGACGCCGGGTATAGAGCATTTTATTAATTAGCCTACACCGTAAGACACCGAGACATTTCGGTCTAAAACTGCGCGGTGTTAGGCCATTCCTTGGCGTTTATATTTAAATTAGTCAGTTATATTTATATCGTTATATTCTTGCTGCGGGAATTGTAACTGGTGAAAAGGTTTAATGTTTTATTTGACAGCATGCCCTCAGCGTAAAGTACGTTTGACGTTGGCCTATAGCTCTAAAGCCTAGTTCACATGCAGCGGTTTTGGCCCTAGAGCGGCGCGATTTCTGCCGTCGCGGCGCTCTGGCCAGCACCAGCAATTCTGCGGCACGAGCGCCGCGACGGCAGAAATCGCGCCGCTTTAGGGCCAAAATCGCTGCATGTGAAACACGCTTAAGGATGACCGTTCGTCCCATGCCACCTAGGAGACAAGGCCTCCACGAATCTTCCTCAAACGTCATCACCAGTGGTCAACGCAGCGCTACCTAGCCCGCGTCAGCGTTACCTTTCAGGGCGTCTTGTAGCGTCTCGCAAGGAGAACGACGCTGGCACTTGTCGATAACAAGACGCATGTGCCAGCTGCCTCTTGGCGGAGTACTCTCGTCGGACTTCCATGTGCTTTGCGCTTGAGGCGGATTGGAGAGTCCGCTTATTAGCGGCGAGAAGTTATGGTGGCGCCCTCCTACGGTTCCCCTTTGTGACGTCATTACCTTGCGAACAACAAGTTAGATTGTGTTTGTAAATAGCATGGTGGAAGCTTGAAATAATTGCGCTTTCAAAGGAGCACTTCCAACACCGTCAAAATTAAAATTCTTTCATTCCTCTTATTTCCGTTGATGATATACCCTTTCCGACGTCATAAGTCAGCGTTCGGCCAATCGTGGAGGGCCGACCACAGCGATGCTTTCGGTCGCGCTCGTCGCCAATAAGTACATATTAGGGAGGTCTCGTCTCATAGGCGGTATTTAGTTGTCTCACGATCTTGCTAAAAAAGAAAAAAAGAGAAAGGCAGGATGAAAGTTTTGGGTGAACGGACCACTTCTCTTCAGATAGGACAAGTTGCCATAAAAGAACTAATCTAGTAATGAAGGTGGACCTATCGGTGTTCTAATAATAACCTAAAGTGTATTTAATGCTTGTTACTTATAATTCAAGGTGTCTTTATGTCTGTAAGAAAGTATGTTAACCGATTGGCTTACACTCTTTGTGTAAATAGTCGGATGATGCGTGATTTCATGTTCTGTTTTTGCATAAGGTTGTTAATGGTGGTGATTGCACAGCACTACTAAACTGTGTATGTTCACGTGTTCATCAAAGGTCTACTTGTATGCGCTAAATAGAGAGTTTGAGTAGATCGTGTTTTCAGGCCACGCTCCTTGTAGCGGGAGCTCGCGCTGCCACTTCGTTGCACACTCTGAAGTACGCGCCCGTACTAGTAGCGGGCCTTCGAAAACGATCCACTACAACTGCCAACAGACCGATCTCAGCAGTCAGTTTGACTACGCCACCGCTGCCGCAATGCATCGAGGGAACTTTAGTCTTTCTGCACGTGCGACAACCTCGCTGAAGCTCTGCGCGTGTAGAGCATGAGACGGCACGAACCCTCTCGCGCACTGCCATTTGTCTCCAGTAAACTAAAGTTATGGCGGCGTCACGATTGCGCCGAACGCTTGGTGAGATCGGTCTATTATTTCATCCTTCGGCTTTACACAACACAGATTTCATTAGCTGTCTGCAAGTGCTTTTAATAAATTTGAATAAAACCTAGATAAATTGTATATTGATATTTTTGGATGCGAATGAACATTTAGAGAGTGCATCGACGACTTCCTTTCATTCTGAATTCTTATCGTTATGACGTGGTGCACCCCTAAAAAGGCGTATAGCTGTGCATGTTGCACTGAAAATAAAACAAATAAAGTAAAATTGTCATTCTAAAACAATAACAACAACAACAACAAAAACAAAAAAAAAACTTACTTAATGGACCAAATTGAACCATGCATGGGTTCGTGACGTCATAACGTCAGGTGGATCTTGTCGTCTACTTACCCGTGCCTCTGTTCCACCTCGCGTCTGCGCAGGTACCGAGGAGGAGCGCGGCATACTGAAGTTTAGAGAAGGCTTCAGTGAGCCAAGCTCTCGGTCTGTGCTCACCAACGACCCGCTGCGTTACTGGCACGCCTACTCCACGCCGTGCTTCGAGAAGCTGCTCAAGAGGTTCCCGGCCATGAGGAAGCTCCCTCTGATGCCGGAGAAAGAGAACCATACTACCTTTCTCGAAGAGGAGTAAAGTCGTCAGAAGGTTGCCACTAAATAAATGAAAACCTAACGAATGCTAAGATAAAAAAAAAATAATCGGGTTTGTTTTTGTTGTTGTGGTTGTAGTTGTACTGTAGACTGAGGGCAGATACGCAATGACGAAGGAAGGCCATGATACAATTGGAACTAGGCATGATGTTACCAAAATAAGAATATTTTCGATTCGCCTTTTTATTTAAATGATGAATTCCGCTAGACGCGGACATTCAATGCGCCCACCTCGCATGTATGGTAAAACCGCATTGTGTGCGACCTTGCATAAAGTAACAGGCACATCACTGTCAATACTAAATCTGTTACAATTTTATCTATTGTCGCATTTTTAGGCAAACTAAAGAAAATAAATCTTTCGTTGAAAAAAAGTTTCATGGTTTTCAAAATAGTTACTCAATAATTCCCTTGTTTTCTTTTTCGTTTTTGTTTGTTGTTCACTTTTATATATACGTAAGAACGCGTATGCTAATGTTTGAAGGGATGAAGACAAACTGGTATAAACGATTTTTTTTACGATTAATAGAATCAGGAAGCCGGAGTTCTTTTGGTTTCCTAAATTATCTTGAGGCGTATATTTTTAACGGTACTTTCAAATGGCTAAAAATGCAGTAACAAAAAAAAAAAGAAAAGAACATGTCTGCATCGTTCTCTGGAAAACTCCTCGAAGGGTTCTTGAAAAAGTGATATTGCATTGAGC